GTTCTGCTCCCAGGTTGCTGGTGAGGATGCCACTGGCACACAACACCAAGATGGTGAGCACCAAGCAGCCCCGGGCAGGCAAGGGGGGCGCGGACGCAGAGAACAGCAACCCTGAAAAGGTGAGTCCTGAGCTGGGCGAGGGGCACGGGGGCTCCTGCAGGGCAGCTGGCCTCCCATCTTCTAACAACCTCTCTTGCAGGAGGAGAGCTGCCAGGCCAAGAGGTCTCCATCCTCACCCCAGGGCGGGCCCAAGAAGAGGTCAGCGTTTGGGGACATCACCAACGTGAGTGCTTCTGTGGGGGCTTTGGTGCTGCTTGTGAGCACCCCACATACATGGGGCTGGGTATTCCCTCCAGCATGCAGAACAGGGGGTGTCCACTGCCCTGCCAGCAGGAGGAGAGGTCTCGCTGCAGGGCACACATGTCTTCCCTCTGGATACCCCCATTCTCACCCCAACAGGCTCACAAGAACCAGGTGGTGGCAGGGAAGAAGGAGGCTGTGAAAGTAGCACCACAGAGGGCACAGAGGGCCAGTGCTGCCCTGATGGTGGCCAAGAACAATGAGATCAACCTGAAAAAGTGAGTAGCCAGAGGAGATAGGGATGGGGACTGGGGCAGGGGGCATGCTGCAGGGCCAGCACCTGCAAACCTGTCCCATGGGGAAGAACAAGCAGTGGTGGGGGCTTCCTTTGGGCAATGGAGACCATGAGCCAGGTGGGGAGGGCACACAGTGGGTAAAATGGCCACAAGATGTACCAGGTGAGGCTTAGAATGGATATTAGAAAAAACTTGTTCCCTGAAAGGGTTACCAGCCATTGAAACAGGCTGCCCAGGGAAGTGTTTGAGTCACCGTCCCTGGAGGTATTTAAAAGACGTGTAGATGTGGCACTTAAGGACACGGTTTAGTGGTGGACTTGGCAGTGTTGGGTTTATGGTTGGATTCAGTGGTCTTAAAGATCTTTTCCAACCTAAATGATTCTGAGAGTCTCTATTATGAAGCTGCAGGGGGTTCTGGAGAACCCCTTTCAGCCAGGAGATGTGGCCCCTCCCAGCAATGGTGTGTGCTCTTGTCCTGTCCAGGTCAACGAAGAAAACTCCCCCAACAGAGGCTCCTGCAGAGCAGAAGAAAGATCCTGTGCCAGAGGAGCCGCTGCCTGCGCAGGTACGGAAGCTCTCCGAGGGGAGGGCAGGCACCCGGGCTGCAGCCTGGCCCCCAGGCTCATCCTGAAGGTACTGGTCTATGGCTGCTGCTGGTGACACTGGGGCACCCAGCAGTGCTTTGGACCTTCGAGATACTGGGGCTGGTGTTGATGGGAAGCTGGGGAGGCAGGAAAACTCTCCCACCTTCTTCCTTCAAAAGATCTCCCATGGGAAAGTGGAGTGGGGGCTGCAGGGTGATGTGGGGGGTGCAGCCGCCTTGCCCTGCAGGAATGACCGGCACCCGCGGAGCTTGGGGCCTCCCCTTACCGCTGCCTCCTCCATCCTACAGATACCGGGGGTGGAGGACATCGACAAGGAGATGCTGGGTGACCCCAATGCCAATGCCGAGTACGCCAGGGAGATCTTTGAGTACATGCGGGAAAGAGAGGTAGGTGACGCGCCTGGCTGAGGGCAGAAGACCTGCCTGGGGCAGCGGTGCCCGTGCCCGCTGCCCCCAGGCTCTGAGCACCTGGCGGGGGCTGCGTGGGGTGGGGGGAGATCCTTTGAGGGTGGTGGTGTCCGGTGAGTCCCTGATGGCCCGCACGTCGGCAGGAGAGATTCATCCTCCCTGACTACATGGAGAAGCAGCCAGACATCAGCGGGGACATGCGCGCCATCCTGGTGGACTGGATGGTGGAGGTGCAGGTACGTGGGCATGGGGGGCAGGGCCCGGTCTCCTGCAGAGCAGACCCCACCCTGCCTTGGGTGTGTGGGACCTCAGCACACTGGCAGGGGTCCTGCGAGTGTCCCCACTGCAGAGTTGATCTTCTCCCTCCCCAGGCTGGGGATGAGCCTGCATCCCTCCGTCCGAGCCTGGCCCCGTGGGCACCTCTGGCCCCTCGGAGGGAACTGGGGAGGGGGCCAGGCAGGCCTGACTTCTGCCTGACACCCCCTCTTGCCCCCCACCCACATCCTTGCAGGAGAACTTTGAGCTGAGCCACGAGACGCTGTACCTGGCTGTGAAGCTGGTGGACCACTACCTGGTGGAGGTGGTGAGCATGAGGGACAAGCTGCAGCTCATTGGCTCCACGGCCGTCCTCATCGCCTCCAAATTTGAGGTGAGTCCTCAGGCGCTGCTTTGGGGGGGCTGGGACAGAGGGTGCTGTCCCTCCCTGTCCCTGGGGGCTATTGGAGAAGACCAGGTCCCTGCAGTGCTGAAGTACTGGCCTGAGAGCTGCTGGGGTCACGCGTCTGTCCCTGTGTTACCCCGTCCCAAGGGCTGCGAGTGCACAGCACAGATGGCACACAAGCCCTGCTGGGTGTTATAATGGTCCTCCCAGGGTCGGGCAGGGTGTGAGCCCTTACAGGGCATGCAGGCGCATTGGATCTCCTGAGCGTTGTCAGGATGAGCCCTCAGCGTGGTGCTGAGCGGTTGTTTCCTGGCAGGAGCGGTTCCCACCATGCGTGGATGACTTCCTCTACATCTGTGACGACGCCTACAAGCGGGAAGAGCTCATTGCCATGGAGATCAGCATCCTCAGCACCCTCAAGTTCGACATCAACATCCCCATTGCCTACCGCTTCCTGCGGCGCTTTGCCAAGGTGGGCGCAGCAGGAACGTGGGCTGGTGGCACGGTGCCTCCGGGCCCCTTGCCTTGGCTCCCTGGGGTGGTGATGGGCGTCCCTGGAGACTGGGGCTCCCAGCTGGCAGCAAGGAGGGCTTGGCCAGTCTGCCCCGACAGGGCTGAGGGGTGAGGATGCTGGTCTGTGTCAGGCTGGGTGGGTGGGGTCTGTGCTCCAGGGGAAGGACTGTACATCCCAAAAAGGTTGGAGGGGTGGGGGGAGCAGCGGTACCCAAAAAGCTGAGCCTTTCTTTCCCCGCCTGCCGGCTGCAGTGCGCCCGTGCCAGCATGGAGACGCTGACGCTGGCCCGCTTCCTCTGTGAGATGACCCTGCAGGAGTACGACTACGCCCGCGAGAGCCCCTCCAAGCTGGCTGCCAGCTGCCTGCTGCTGGCGCTCACCATGAAGAACCTCGGGGGCTGGGTAAGCGCCCGTGCCCCCCGCTGTCCCTCCCCGGGCATCCCCAGGGCACCACGGGGGTGCAGCAGTGGACGGACTGGGGGGAGGATGCTGGTGGGCTGTGCTCAGGTTTGGGGGCTGGAGAGGGCGGGGGGCTGTACCGCCACCGCGAGGCCCCACTCAGCCTCGCCGTCCCTCTGTAGAGCCCCACGCTGGAGCACTACAGCGGGTACTGCGGCCAGGACCTGCATCCCCTGGTGAAGAAGCTGAATTTCCTGCTCACGTACCAGCCCCACGACAAGCTGAAGGCCGTGCGCACCAAGTACTCGCACAAGTGAGCGTTGCAGGGCTCTGCCGTCTGCCCGCTGCTCTGCAGAGGGTGGCAGCCCCAGCATGCACCCTTGGGTGCTGCAGAGCTGGGGGTGGGGGTCAGGGCTGCAGCTGAGTTCTAAGCCCGTGTGCTTCCTTCCAGGGTCTTCTTCGAGGTTGCCAAAGTCACCCCCATGGACATGATGAAGCTGGAGGAGAAACTGAAGAGCTGCTAGCCTTGTCTCTGTAAATAGCCTGTAAATAGCTAGGTTCTCGCTGCCAGGGGAGCACTATGTACATAAAAAATAGTAATTTTAACTGAAGGGGAAGGGGGGGAAAAAAAAGTCATGTGAAGCTGTTAATAAAATGCTGTGTTTGTCTCAGGTGCTGGTGCTGGCTGCAGGGACAGCAGAGGGGATGGTGGCAGAGATGATGCTGAGCCCTGGAGCTGTGGCTCCCCTTGCTGGGTTGGGGCAGAGAGCGGGCACAGGAGCTGGTGGCATGACAGGGAGGAGGAAGGGGCGAGAACAGGTCCCCACCACCCTGCCCACACCCCCCACTGTCCCCTGAGTAATGACACTACACAAGCAGTGGCAATGAGTATCTTTTCTCCAAATATTTACACAGCTTAAATACCCACGAGGGGAGGGGGATCTTTGCTTTGGCCCCAGCCTGGCCCCCAAGCTCCTGTGGTGACCCTGCCGGGGGCTGGACGGACAGCTGTGCCGCGCTGCCTGCGGGGCTCAACCCCCCCTGTAGTGTTTCCAGCCCCCTGGGCTCAGGGAGAAGCAGCAGCACCAGGGACACCAGGGGGCAAACAGACAAAGCGAGGTAAGCAGGGGGGCTCCACACACACGGGGCACGGTGGGGACTGAGAGCCCCCCTGCCCGCCCCTG